TATATAACAGTAATACCTATACTTGACGATTGTAATTCTAGATGAAGTAATTGACAATTGTTAGGTGGAGACAGAATAGTACTTAGATTACCTATATTTCGGGCAAATCTACCGCGTAGTCTTCTCCATTATTTTGGTTTGTTATTGATATTTCCATTACTGGAAAATCAGTCAGAAATATAATAAATACAAAAGATGTTTTTATTTTTGATTCCAACACAACCGTTTAGGTTTAAAAATATTGAATTCAATAAATAAGTTTCAATGACAGCAATATCTTCATAAAATGACTTCAAGTATAAATTTTACTTAATGTGTCTATAATAATCAATTACAACTAGGTACTTACAGAGTACTTAGGTAGACACATATATAATTGGTTATAAGTAATACTTATATAGAGAGAGAAAGGTATGAGGTATGTGAAGTTGTCACAGAACTCGTGACTACCCTTTCTCATCGTCGTAAACATAATACACAATTTACCAAGAAATCAGTGAGCATTGTCAAAGCGAGCCTGCTTCATACCATCTATATCTAACAGGGTTGTCACATTCACCAAAAACAGAGAAAACAATGAAGATCGAAACTATGGTCATATCTCTGAGTTTTTGTCTCATCGACAACACTTTCGCTCAGCTTTCCGAATGAGCGGTAAGTTAAAAAAATTATTTTGTATTCTATTCTATTCTTTCGCTCATTTATTTGATGTGCAACCCTGCTTCATATATCTATAGTAATGAATAAAGATAATATAGAAGCAATGTTTGTGAGGTTATAGCAGGTAATCTGTTTATCTACTAATCGATTTTGAAAATTCATTTAATTTTGGATAGATTACTTATCGAGGAAGGCTATATATAGGCTATATAATATCACGCTACGACCAATAGGAGCTGTGCTGCCATGAAAAACGGACAAAATGTAATGCAGACGAAGTTGGGCTGATCAAGTAGTATGACATAAGGCAAAATAAACAGTATGAGAAATGTATATACTATGTGTATGTGTAAACTGTTGACTAACGTACTAATCTAAGAGTATTAAAAATGTGAATGGGTCCAATGATTTGTGTGATTTACTTGAGAATGGTTACTAATTTCTTTTACTAAGTTTATTTTTTTACAATACTGATGAATGAATGTATTATAATTAATTAATAACTAGCTAAAGCCTGTTATTTCTTGCCCATTTAACTTTTAGTTTGTAAACTGAAAGTAATAAAACTAATGTTAAATTGTTATTGTTAGATATATGTTTATACATATTTTATATATTAATATTGTATATAGTTTGTATTCTGTGAAGAGATCAATAAAGAATTTTAATTTCATTTCATTAATTAAAAGTACCGCAATATATTATTAAAAACTGCTGCACACAAATATGTTAAATTGTCTTTGAGATAGCGCACATAAACGCACAGATAAAAAATAATGGTTAAAGTCTCCCAATACTAGTTTATGACATAAATTTTCATGTAGACACTGATAATATACAGTTTCACTATATGTATAGGTAATTGAATATCTACTACTAACATATAAAATTAATATTAGGTATACTTACTTATACAGGTACCAGTTGAACAAGGAGCGAAGACAACCCTAATCTCAAGTATCGTTCGCAAATGGAACTTGTCCGTGGTCACTGAAATAACATTGTTGTGCCCATATAAAGGATATTTCATCGAGTAAGTTCCACTATAACTTGGCTTTACACACAAAATCATAAAACATAATGTCACCTATCTACTTATAGATATGTCAATTCATACTCGTAGCTTGTAAAATCCTACTGCTACTATAAAATAATATTTAGTTACTATAGCAATAATAGGATTATTACTTTCTGTAATACAGATAATATACTGAATAGAAAAAATACTTCATAATATACTATAATACTTGCATAGCATTTCGTAAGCACATACGCTGGACAAAAATAAAAATATATGTCTAAAAATAAATCTACTACAATAGTAAATTATACGAGAATAATAACTAATATCATTAATCAATGTTCCAATTAGATTTTAAACTATACGTCTTTTTGTTATCAATCAAATTGAATGTAGGCATTTTGTATCTATTCTGGCCTCCCAACTTCTAACCCCAAACATCAATCGTTTCCCAAGGCGGTGTGTAATTGGTGACATCAATTTAATTTACGCTGATAGCAACCCCAAAAGGTGTTCGCGCTCACGAACAGAAGGCACGCCTAGGGGTAAACGGCACTCAATTTATCCATTCTTCTATATTAATTACCAGGAACCCACGGGCCGTTGGACATAAATAACAAAAACTGACGTGCATCTAGCATCTACCCCAAAACCGTCACGGGGCCCGATTCGAGCGATTACATTAAAACCCCCCTTCTTCAAGCTTAAACGAAGTTACAGGAGGCGATTTATCACATTTTAAAACGTTGTATGCTACATCCAGTGTAAAATCCATAAAAATGTTTTGATATCACCTGCCGAGTAGGTTGAGGGGTGTGGTTACTTTAAATATGTAAACATTTATACCCCATATTCACAACGCATAGAAATGCACCGATAACCCGTGTATAAGTCACACGACCAGTTACAGGTACTTTTGATGATTCTTTCCTATGAGATAGAGCATAACCTACAAGGTATGAAGATTATCAATGGAAAGGAATTGCATGTGAAAAATCTGGTATTAGTAGATATCTATGTAAAATATTTTATACACAGGTACAATTTTTTTTATTCAAATTCAAACTACATATCGTACATACGACATTCAAATACAATGATATCCAATAAAATATTACATATTAAATAAATATATATTCAAAATTGGATTACCCTGAATCCATTTTTTTTAAATATATATTTTTATCAAAATTTTATTTTGTATTTCATAATTTTTGAAGTGAAATGACTCTACATTTTTGATAGTGTCCCTTTTTTATCCTCCTAAAAATGATTGTTACTGTAAATATTTCTTTTATTTACCGTTTATAATATATATCTAAATATGACGTTTGTTTATTAATAACATAATTAAAGTAGGAAGTAAATATCGAGACATTTCATTTCTAATTCATTATCAGGGATTTACATAGACAAATATAAAAAATAAAGTAGGTACTTGTAATATATAGATATTGTTTTTGGTTCATTTCTATTAATGAATACAGACAAAAACAGTTATCATGACATCGGAACATTAATTAAGAATTATAGAAGAGATTTCATGTAAAATTTACCTCCCTATTATATTTTCAGCGTGAAACTTTCTAAAAATAATTTCATCAAAGATTGTAATAAGTCAGTGCACTTTAAAGATAAATAAAAATAAAGGTAAGCCAATGTTTTAATCCGTATCTGCTAATCTACAGCGACCATCATTCGGTTCAATAAATTCGATTCGGGTTCATTCGCCTGTCACATTACCGTTTCAAATTTTAACTGTTAGGTATATCTAACTCAAGTAACTATATTATGTAATACATTTAGTACCATCAATCAAATATGCCTACAGCCTATTTTTTATATAAATGATATTGTAGTAATACTATAAAATATAAATATAATCTGTCTGTTTGGTCACGGCACTGATTTGATTCTCATGTTGTTGGGTACCACCAAAATATTACCGTTGTTTATGGACTCCTGAAACACCAGGGGTGTCACGTGTACATTATTAAACCTTATACCTACCCTACTTGAATAACCGGTGTAGTTTCTAGTTAAAATTATCGGCAGGTACCTACTTCATTCCACAATCTGAGTGTGTGTTCACTCTGAAGCTGCACTGTCCGTGACCACTTCGGTTCTAAGGTGTGAGGATGAATTTTCTGTTAACAGTGAACGGTCCGCTGACATGAATTGTATATCTATAGATACTATTTTATATACATGTATCGTTACAACTGTGAGTAGCTACTGTACAAATAATCTAATAATAATAATGTATTTTTATGCAGAAATATGTTCAATGTGCTACCTACTTATTTTCCTCAATTTTGACATAATTTTATTTAATTTGTTAGTTAACAATCCATGTTTATTATAAAGAAAAGACAATAAAATAAACTTTTCCATCCTAATACATCTACAACCGTTATGTCAACTGACAACCCATCTGTTATTTTGTTTAGATAATATGCACATTCATTGTTAAGTCGCAATCATATCTCTGCACTTCATAAAGCGTGACTAGTAGAGAAAGCTGTCGTATTAAATCCTCATTTTATACTATATTTTATTGGTTAATAAAACAAATAAATAAATTGTAACTGTCGCCTATATTCATGAACAGTACCTACCACGAAGATCACGTCATTATGTGATGCCGGCAGTAATCCTCATGCGTTGGATTAAGGTATCATGCCTCTGTACCCTCCAATTTTACTATAATATCTTAACCTTTCACTAAAGTACAGTTTAGAAAGTAGGTAGCTTGAAGGCTAAATAAAAAAGAAAGAGAAGACTTACCAATGCACTCGACTTCGGTACCTTAGTAAAATATTCATAGGCTGAAGAATGAAAAATACCTATACTTGAAATCAGATCATTTAGCCCATACTGACCAATCTACCTATAGAGTCATCAGTACAGTTCAACTCATTTTTTAATGCGTGATAATGGAATGGTGCACCGCCTGCACTAACGGTAGATATAGGTACGCTGGCGGGCGCAATGAATAAGAACATACCTATATTATATATCTATCTATACATAATATACCTGCCTATATAATACATGTTCTTATTCATTGTTAATTTGAGTAGGTATGTGTGCAATAATACAATGATTACCAAAAACATATTAGATACCTTTCTTTCTTTACTAAGGTCTAGGTACGTAGATAAGTCTTACCTAGACCTAGTCTTTTGTAATGAGTAAATAACTTTCTTTTGATATATTTTTTATTGTATTCTATTAAAATATAAATTACAATAACATTTTTATAAGTTGATGGTAGATAACAGGTATTGTATAATATTAACATATGATAAAACCGATTGATAGGTATCCTACCTACTATTAGATATTAATTAATAGGTAAGTATCTATATAATATAATCAACAAAACTCACTATTAGCACGACTTAATTTCTCATTCTTAGAATATGAAACTAAAATTAAATATAGCTCTACCACACCATCTAGGTAACAATAAAGATTAATTACCTCCGTGGCTTTATCAAAGCGCATCGATAAATGTTCTGGAGACTTGTATTAAGAGGTGAACCAAACTGAAAATGTCCAAACATGGAAACTTGTAAAGGAATCATCTGACACATTGTCGCCGCCATGGAATAAAACTCTTGTTGAAAAGATATCATCGACGCAACATTCATGTTAACATCTGCGTCAGTTCTTTCCACGGCAATGTCACTTAATAAACTGTCTATAGTAAAAGATTTTTTCGGTTTGGCTGTATCGATTGACTCTGAATAAGAATTTGTAGACGGTGTTTCCGACACTTGCTTTAAAGATGCTGTAATTCTAGATTGTTCCGTAGTAAATATACTATTAAGATGAACTAGTGCTGCTAATTCTGCATTTAAGTCGTTCTCTCTCTTCTGCAACTTAAATCTTTTTCGTCTCCTGAGCAACGATCCATTCTCGAACATGTCGAAGGCCTGTGGATGCAGTGTCCAGTAGGCTCCTTTCCCGGGCCTGTCTGGGTGACGGGGGACCTTCACGAAGCAGTCGTTGAAGGAGAGGTTGTGCCGCAGCGAGTTCTGCCAGCGCTGCGTGTTGCGCCGGTAGTACGGGAACCTGTCCGTGATGAACCGGTAGATATCCGACAGCGGCAGCATACGTTCAGGGGAGCTCCAGATCGCCATAGCGGTCAGTGAAATATACGAGTACGGTGGTTTTTGGTCGCCGTAGAAATCGCGCGAAGGTCGCGGCATGTTCAACTGATAGTGGAAAGAAGCGGCGGGCGCGCCGACGGGCGTAGCGATAGGGCGGAGCGGCGTTTAGCTCCGCCTGCGTGCTTCCCCACGCGCCCATGCTCGTTGCCGGCAGATATGATAACGAGGATGCCACGACGAGCAAACCGCATCTCCCTCTGGTACTATCATTACCATTATGATTGACTGCATACTTACCTCCTGTTGGTTTTAATAAGCCAGTAGGTGATACTTACCTATTTAAGATTGTTGCGAAGAACATTATTAGGTATTGGATTTATTAAATTTATAGATATTTGCATGGTTGTGTAATTAGAAATAAGTTATGAGTTATTATTCATCATTTTATATTTTAAATAAGTTTATACATATACTATGTATCGTATTTATTTATTAAAAATAAACAATACCTACAATATAATATTAAAGTGTGACGCCATCTGGTAGGTAATAGCAAAACTAATGTTAAAAAAAGAACAATATTTTTACTGTGCTTATATATTTTGAATCAATACCACATAAAAATGGGCATAAATATGTAAATTAATACAACTATTTAAGGATCGATTGATAACTATTATAATCACTCTAGCTGAAGCGCGCAACTTCGTTTGGGTCGCATTTCATCCGTTTCTGCAACATTTCATTTCATTGATATTCTGCTGCTAGGGGTCGTTGCTAATATTATATAGCCTTCCTCGATAAATGAGCTATCCAATACAAAAAAATCAGTTCATTTAAATTAAATCCAGTAGTGACTGAGATTTGCGAGTTCAAACTCTTTAGATTAACGTAGCATAGATTTTCTTAATAAAAAAAATGTCCTTTTATATTATTTGCTATTGAATCAGATATCTACTAAAATGTACAAGTTAAAAATAGTAGATAATGTGAGACACTCATAAATAAATGCTTTAAAATGTCCTACATTAATAAACTATTCCGACTCTAAATATAACTAATTCAAAATGCTTGCGTTCAATAGAGGAAGGAAAAAATAAAAACATTTTAAAAATATTTCTTATTTATATATTCAATTTTATGTAATATTAATATACAATTGACGGATGTATAACTAGATAAAAAAGAACTAAGACTGTCGTAAAATACATGTTTATTTTACAATATTTACAACTTGGTTGTGAGTTCTGGGACAGCTTTGAACAAATCGGCAACCAGTCCGTAGTCGGATACCTGTAACACAAAACATAAACAATGTTATTCAAAATCTAAAATTCAGCTCATCAGCGACTCCCAATCCCGTAATCTTTGCTCAACTCCCTCACATCATTCAGCCTCCACGTCCAACTCATTTATTTACTGTGATTTGCCTTCGGAATAAATTACCTATAGACCTGCGTATAACACCGAGTAAGCCAAATAATATATATAAATTATTTACTAGCTATTCGTCCTGGCTTCGCACGGGTGTACATGTTTTTTTTATACTACTATGGTGGTATATATACATGTATTATATATATAAACATTCCTCTTGAATCACTCTATGTAATTAAAATCCGTTGCGTAGTTTTAAAGATTTAAGCATACATAGGGACAGTAAGCGACTTTGTTTTATGTAATGATTAAGTCAACAGCATCTTCAGAATTAGCTTAACTACTATTGAGTATTGTGTTAGTTTTAGTATATTTATACATATTTTAGCATGTATGTACATATATTAATAAATTAGTTTACAGTTCTCGCTATTACCCCACAGCGCTTTCTGATTACCTTAAAGTTAGCTGGGAGAGAATACCATACGGCATTAAAGTAGCTTATTGTGCCAGAGTTATTGTTCAATATAAAGATTAGAAATAATAATCAGAGTAACACAATTATTAATTATTATACATATAAACAAAAATAATGAAAGACTAGTAAGAATTGTAATCACATTATTCGGGATTTACATACACAGTTGTGTGTATTATCGCTAGTATTCATTATATAACTAATAAGATAAAATTATTATTACTGTGAACTTCTTGACTTATTATGCTGATAACAATTGATTCAAAAATATTTAATGTACTTATATTTTTTTTTCGGACTACTCAAAGGCTGTCGGACGCATCTGGTCTTTACAGGTTCTCCAGATGATGGGGGGGCGAGTGTGAAATTAAATGCTAATATAAGTCACTTCAGCTTCACACTGGTATCTAGATGGATAACTCTATTTACTAGTATATTTTAAAGCCGCAAAATAACTTACTAGAACCTTAATAAAATAACACCAATACGGTGTGGTAAACCTAGAGATTATATAAAAATTCGGATAAATCTAAACAATTTTGAGAGAATAAAGATAATTTACTACTAGATAGTAATACTAATAGGAATTTGTAACGTATAAAAATGATCGAAAAGAAGTCCTTGTGGTATAATAGATTAAAAAACATAAATATTAACACAGAGCATCTAAAAATTGTAACATTTATTAGCGTATGCTGCGGGCTTTCTTGCTTTCAGCTTGTTTAGATTAGATTACAGCTATACTTCACTATCTGTGTAAAGGATCAATAATATAATCTTACGGGTGATAACTATGATTTCACCAAATTATTCTAAAGCATTACAAGATATTATACAACTTCGTACTGATATCAATATATAATTGGATCAATAGATAATATATGTATATAATTGCTGAATATGATATTATCCTCTAGATATGATATATAATAGTGTAGTAAGCTTCTAATAACATACCAAATTACAAAACAGATGATCAGTAAAATGGAATGTTTCTGGTACATTTCTAAACATGCTGCCATAATAATATGTATATGGCACAAGAAGTCGTAAAGTAACACTGTAAAACGTTCCCAAAGTAAAAGTAGTAAAATGAAGATACTTTTTAAAAACTTACTAGTGATTAATTTAATAAGAAAAGTACAAAAAATATTTTCAGTATATTCGAATATGTTAAACGCCGTGAAGTATGTCAAATATTGATTTAGTAAATCTAAATTACTTAATTAGAGACTTTATATACATTTTTTTGTTATAATTAGACTTTATATACATAAATGTATAACATATTGACACACTTGAACATGGCAAATTTATTTCATTATAATTGACTTATTAACAACACAGCCTTTCAACACAGAAGTATGAATATACATATATTAGGATGAAAATGGAATAATAGTTTTTTATACCAATCTAACCTGGAAAATGGGTGCTTCAGGATCCTTGTTAATAGCTACGATGGTCTTGGAGTCCTTCATTCCAGCGAGATGCTGAATGGCACCACTGATGCCCACCGCAATGTATAGGTCCTAATAAATATCATCATTAGTATTACCACATTTGTAATTAAATCTCGCTACAATTGATAAAAAACCTTACTTGCTAACAACTCATCTGAAATCTATTATTGTTGCAAAAATTGTTTTTGCCAACCTCCACAAAAAAGTAAATTAGGTAAAGGGAGGTAAAACTATTGGTAACCAATAATAAATAATTATTATTTTATTATTATTAAATAATAAATTATTTTCAATACTAAAATTTATCTGAAGTAGGTATAATGATTAACTAAGTCATGTTAAGACTCCTTATACCTTCTTGATAAGATAGTGTGAACTAACTATAACCAATTTCTATGTACACTTTTTTGTTAATCTATCATTTGATGATCCATTTGAGTACTAAATTAAATTGAAATTTATCTGGAAAGAATGTGATTGAGTAATAAAAATGTACATAGAAACATAACATGTACATAACAAATACATGCCATCAAGATTGTTATCCCAATCTTTGATCAAAAAGGCTTTGTCAACCGTCAATGTTGTCGTGAATACAACATTTGACATGCCCACATTTCTCAGAGTATATGTTGAATCCAACGTGGCAAGAAATAAGCCTACCACCGTATCTCTATTAAGTTTTTGATTACATATGGTGTCTCTGCACTGGATATATAATTTGAAACACAAATATATTTTCATAGGTTTCAGTGAAATTTGAACTCACGACCTCTTGGCCGTAATTCAGGGTTACCATTAGACAACAACACTGTTATATTAACAGAACAAATAATAAATGAAACTCATTTCATACAGGTGCAACAATCTTGCCGGTCTGCCCAATCTGGAGATCATTGGGCACGAAGCCAGCGTCGACGGCGGCACGGGATGCGCCCACAGCCGCATTCAGCTTATCAGCTAGGTCATACAGCAACTTGAAGTTATCTCCAGACTTGAGGCCCCGTCCTGAAATATCATATATATTTAGACGCAAGCTAAATACAGTCTTCTTAAAATCATACTCCTGATAAATGTAAGGAGATTGATTTCGACTTCAATTAAATAGTGACTCTATTTAATGGAATTAATATTGGATATAAGCTATATGATGATGACGCCAGTGCCTATTTTACTCCCTTTGGAATTTTCCCCATAAATACAAAATTTCTAAATGTACAAACCAACCAATTTACACAAAACCTTAAGAAATTATAAAACCTTACTCAAAAAATTCTATTAATGAACCTCCATGAATTATATTTAATAGTGTTTGAATTTACTGGGAACAGTCAGGCAAGGTGGTGGGATCGAGATGACTATAATGAACATTGTATAAAGAAATAAATGACCTTCATTTAACCTTTCAGACATATATATATTAATATTATAAAAATAATTGTGATTGTGTTTATGTAATGTTAATATATATTGTGTGATGTATAAATCCTAACTGTAGAAAATAAGATTCTTACCTCCGGACACAATATTCTTTGCAGTAGTGAGTTCTGGCCTGTCAGACTTTGTCAGCTCTTGGGACAGCCACTCTGTAAGGTCAGTCTTGTAATCACCCTCAGGTGCTTTCTCTATTGCAGCGGAACCACCCTCCAATGGTTCTGGTGCAAATGCTGTGCCACGGACTGTGATCACTTTGATGGGGTCCTTGGCTTCCAATGTCAGGACAGCATTGCCTAAAACCAAGTTCCATGTCAGTATACAATTGTCAAGTATATCCATGATATACATATACAAGAATATAAGTATTTAAATATCTATCATATCATTTTTGATATGAAACAACTTTCTTTGTAAATATATTTCCATTAAAGAATGAGATATGGCTGTGAAATTATGGGTACAAAGCATGATATAGTTCGTCGCCCAGTATAGCAACATATGAATAGGACTAAAGGGGTAGTACAGATGAAGAGTCCATGATGTTGTTTATGTATATTGGTGATGATTGCAACTTACCATCAGTTTGTTTAATGATTACATAAAAAATACATTCATGACATTCCAGTCAAATAAAAAATACATACCTGCATATATTGTCCTCACAAATGTATTGGCATCTTTAACACCAATAATATCTGTTATTGGGGACACATCAAGCTTAGCAGCCACACGTGGAAGCACTGCTTTCCCAAAGGCAGTAGCTGGTGCCAATATATGTGTGAAATTAAACTGCTTCTGAGTAGCCAATATAAGTGGGGTCAATGATTCAGCTGTGAAACCCTTGAAGGCATCACTTTCAGCTACTAGAACTTTCGATATACCACCAGCTTTGGCTATTTTCTCGGCAGCCTGAATTGAAATAAATAACCATTAAAATATTTTATTTTACAAAAAAATTATAGCAAATATCTTTGTATATTTTATAACAGTTACATCAATAGTTAATAGATGCTTCTATGAATGATAATTAGAATACATTGATTATCCTATCATTTTTACTGCTTGAAAGTCATCTGGTATATGAAACATATAGATAATTCAAGATTTCATGAAAAACATATTAATATATATTTCTTCAAAAATAGGTTCCTAGATATATTAGATCATAAATATGTAGGCATGTATTGTACAAAAACACTTACTGGGCCACATTTTGTCCCAGCAACCAAAACAGAAATATCACCACCAATTTTCTTTGCAGCATTTAGTGCATTCTGAGTAACTGGTAGTAGTGCATCATTGTTATGTTCAGCTACCACCAAGGTACTTTGCAGTCTACGCAGCTGAAACATAAAAGTTATTCAATTAGATCGAAAGTAAACTTTGCACTTTGATGTCATCAAATACAAGATAATATTGAATGTACCTGAGTAGACAAAAATTGTCTGCTGCATGGAGAAAACATTTTAAGAATTGTATTTCTATTTTAAGTATTTTTTATTTTAAAATATAATATATAAAGACAAAATTAAAAATTAAACACAGACTGACATGTGGACAAAGTCCAAAAAATTATACAAGGGTTGCCAACATTCGATGCTTAGAAATTTTGCCTTAAATAAAGGAGCTAAAAAATCACCTGTTATAGCTATATTTTTTTCGGTTTTGTTTCTCCTTTATCGAAAAGACAAAGGTAACTATGCCCATACAGCTATCTCTGCAGTCAGCAGCCATGAAGGACCGTCCGTCCGTTTGTCAATGTGACTTATTGATAATAACTGACATTCAATGATACTGACAGTTTTGACTGACACGATGATTCTTATTCCGAATTCAAATTTGTTTTGTTTATTTTCTTACCACCATATTCTAAAAAGTATATTTGTCTTTTTTTTGTAATTACACTTATTACTGTAATTCAATTTAAATAATTTAACAGAGAAATGGCGTTGCCAATTGTTTCAATAACCAGACGGGAAACATTCAGCTCATGTCACAGACTCCATAGGTGAGCTTGTTTCTTATTTAGATACTTTTACTTAAATTTTGAATATTTATAGAACTACGTAATTAGTTTTGAGTATATTATGGTATTCGTACAAACTACAATCAATATAGTACGAACTTACAAATCTTGTAAAACATATTAGAAGTGAAAGGTAGGCTGTTGTAATTGGTGGAGCCGTTTGTTTCATTCGTTATCCACGTATAAACTACTGAACAGATTGGGGACAGGTTTATTAGTATTTTATTTTAAAGGATGATAATAGAATTATTCCCGTATCCGCTCTAACGGTATACACTGATGGGACCCCATTGAGGATGATAAGATGAGAATGAGGTCACATCAGTTAGCCAACCATCACCACAATGGCTTCCAGGAGGAACCATCTAGAGGTTTCATCAGGAACCATTCCTTACATGGTACATTGATATCAATGGGATTATTAGTCCACATTAATAATCCATTCCCTTCCCCCATAAGCTATAATGATTCCTAATGGAACCCAATCATTTCAACCTCCTCTTAGTCTTTATTGGAAAGCATCCAATCAGGTCAACTCCCACCTGGCCCTATTTGGAAATTATCATAGTTAATTTCTGCCTTTTATCTCGTTCCAACACTTTATACTGGTACCACATCAGCATAGGAATATGATTAGTGCAGCCAGGTCTATTACCTGGAATAATCATTAAATAATTTATTTTAAAATAAACACTACAACAATGGATGGAGTATTTAAATTAAAAAATTATTTTGCTTCTACTATGCATTGAATATCTCACAAAAAAATTCACCATCTTTGATGTGGATTAAAATTAAGATAACAACTGCTTTTCCACTTTTTACAGTAAATTTTTGAGTGATGAAGAAAATAAAAAATTGTATGGTAAATGCAATAATCCCAATGGACATGGCCATAACTATGTTGGTAAGAGACATTAAATATTGATACATAATTTAAATGCTTTATTGTCATAATATTTGTAATATTTCATTGATTTAAAATATAAATTTTCAGTGCTGGTAACAGTCAAGGGGCCTGTGGACACTCAGACAGGCATGGTCATGAATATTCATGATCTCAAACAATGTATGCAGGTTGCCATAATGGATCCACTGGACCACAAAAATTTAGATCAAGATGTGCCATATTTTAAAACTGTGGTATGCCTTCTACATATTTTTTTTTGGAAATAGTGAATTTAACAGTAAATTAGATATATTAAAAAGATTGTGGCTAATTTTGACCTTGACATTGGAAAAAATCTTGAGATACAAAAGTGACTTGTTCTATATAAAATGTACAAAAGATTTATTTTATGGTGGTCAGCATTATACCTTTAACAGTTTTAATACAATTATATTTATACTAATATATGATAATATGGAGAGTTACTCTGTTTTCTAGGTTTCAATTTAAAAATCTGATTAATAATAATAAAATGCATCCACACTATTATTGCAACATTATATTATACATATTTTTTATTATTATCTTTTAATATCCACACCACATAAATTCCTAGACAGAAAACTGTTAGATGTCTTTTACAAATTACAAATTAATGTGTATATTAAAATGTGCATAGTGTTTTTGTTTATAGGTGAGCACCACTGAGAATTTAGCAATTTTTATATGGGATCAGCTACAGAAAGTTATGGACAAGCCTCAGTTGCTCCATGAAGTTAAAATATTAGAAACTGAGAAAAATCACGTAGTGTACCGCGGCGGCAGCACTTACCCGAGGAAGAAACGCGACAACTCCAGCCTGCACCCTAACAACAAATATTACAATGTTTCTTCTGACTCAGACTGATTTATACATATTTTATTTTGGAGTTTTATTATTTCTGTATACATGCTTATGATTTATACAAAGATTTTATATTAATGTTAAAAGTATTAGTAAAATAAGTGAAAAATATAGCATTCCATAAAAATATTGTTTTTTTTAACTTTAACATTTATAACCAACATCTTGTATTATTAGGCTGTGACTGATTAATTTATTGTAAGGTTTAGATGTCTGCATTTCTCATCTTATTAACACGTAGAACAGATATGAAAGATATATTAACAGCCTCGTGGGTCTAGCGGTTTAGCACACCGCCTGTCTCCGATGGTCGCGACTAAATTCCTCGCCCAGTACAAACATACAGTGACACTCATGAATACACGTATATGTATGTATTCTTGAGTGTGATTGTATCGATCTCGATGTTTTCTATGTGTAAATTATGTATTTACAAAAAAATATATAATATTTATATCTAGTAGCTATGATTAGCGTGGGACTAGATTGCGCTGTGTAAATTGTCGCGAGATAAAACAATATATATGGGTAATAACACCTGAATAAAAATAGTTGAAGTATTAAATCCAGTATCAATTTATTCAATTCTCATGTATCCAACAGATCACAAATAACAAATCGGTATATTATTTAAATTGCAGCTCTTAGTAAATGTCTTCAAATCCTGTAGTTAATTTAGTATACATACATATTATTGGAATTCTTTGAAATTGAATTGGCACAAATCTTCACATGTCTTAATTAAAATTATTGTCTTTTTCAGTATAATACTACCTATGTATACACTAATCGATCTATTGAATTCAAATCCTTAGTATCAGGTCATATGGCAATTAAACAGAATATATGATAGTAAGGTGAACCTATAAAATATTAACTACTTATAGGTACACTCGTAAATATACAACTACATATGCATCTAATATTTCACAGGTTAATTAAATTATGTAACGTAATCAAATCCTTTATCATAAGGTATATTACAATAGCGTTTTTTTTTTAAATATTATCAGTTATATTTACATTCCTATACTTCTTTATAACAAATATATATAGTTAAATCTATAAGCAAAAATATTCAAATTATTATCGTGCTTTAATTTGGCACGTATTATCTTCAAATAAAAGCACACAATATCACTAAAAAGACGACTTGAAGTCTACTAATCTCAAGAACTTTGGACAATCATTGAATAGTAATTTAGTCAAAATGTTTTACAAACCAGCACAATTACAAATAAAAATATTTCAATTAACCACAGAGTTATCATTGCAATTTTTTCTTGTATCTAATTATGGATAGGTCAGGCGTAAGTTCGCATACCATCATAAATTTTAATAATTACAAAAACAGATAATTATTTGTAGGTATATATTCTGAAACTCATAGGTAATACCACAGATAACATAATATTACATACAGATACCCCATCCCATACAAGAAAATGGTTCCTTCCTAACTCGGGCTATTCTTCGGGCTATTTTATTTCGCCACCGTAGCCGCTAGATGTCGCTAGATCTGAAGCAGTTCGGATTACTAGTGGGTGCTTAGTAACAAAGCATGAAAATAGATGGCAGTGAATTCAGTCTACATGACATCTGTTTTGCAAAGATATGTATATAATAGATATGTAGGTAACTGTATCGTGTACCTCATTAGGGACGATTCAAGATTCAATATAAATGTGTAGGTATAATATCGTTAGCCGACACTCTGCAGATATGGCTTATGTGCCAATGTATATACCTATTGTGTTATGGTTTATTTTACATTCCATGCCTATTTTTTTTGATATGTTGTAACGCGTCTGCGCTATACGTATAGCCTGATTTTGATACGTTTATACTCGTACGTATCAAAATCGGGCTATACGATTTTTTATTTCAATCGTTATATGTATGAGACTGATTTTAGCTACAATTAATTTACTGGTATATACCTCATGTATTCTACGATGTACCCCTCTTTTACCTAATGAGAATTCCGCTATATCTTATATATAAATTTTGTATCACACTGTTAGTTGCCATATTTCTCCCACATTTTGATGAAATTTGATATGTATACTTCCCAGGTCTGAGGTAGGGTTGTTATCTATTTTTTATACCCCTAAGTCATAGGGGTGGCCTACCCCGAAAAAATATTTTTTTGTATTATGGACAATTTTTTATTTATTTATAATGTTACATTGAAAATACATACACGCCTAAATTTTCACCCGTCTTTCACCAACCCCTATTTTTAATAGCGATATTCTTACAAATATTATAAATGCTAAAGTAACTCAGTCTGTCTGTTTGTCTCGCTTTCACGCCAAAACTACTGAACTGATTTAATTGAAATTTGGTAGACAGATAATGTAGACCCTGAGAAAGGCTACTTTTTAATGCGAAAAAGTATTGAAAGGGGAAATGAAAGGCTATATGAGGATATCGTAATTTTTAAAGTCAGATCTTGTAAGATTAAGTGAACAGGGTCGGTCTAGGTTTTTCATTATTAGAAATGTGTAACGGGGTAACACGTTATTTAGTGCGAAATTGTGTATATTACAATAAAATTTAACGAGAAAATATTATAATGATATCACTGGGACACTCATTGCCTTACTACTATATCGTCCGTTAGTCGCGAACTTTCTGGAAACACGAGAGGCGCTATCCTATTGGTCGGTCGGCGCGGTTACCGCGCGTAGATGAGTAGATGAAGTACTTAGACGAGTCTCACGGCGCCGCAGCGTAAGTACTTACTATACATACGTAGTATACATATGGGTATTACAAATGTTTTTATTACTAGTAATATTACTCTGTTATCTAAGCAAGTAATGTGTGCTTATTTTGAACTTGATAACATTCTGAATTACTCGTATATCTTTCAATATCTTTAGCGGTATAAACCAGGTTATGTACTACTACTAGTATTGTTAGTGAGGGATAAAGTTGATGAACAAAAATAAAACAATATTCGTATTAAAAATATATTCATCTAATATTTTTGGCATTATTTTTAAGTTTCTTCCAAATATAAGGGGTCTGACATGGGGTGTTATGTACCTACATTAAAAAATACTTTTTGAAATGTATGAAAGAAACGTATTGTATGAAATTTTTGAAATGTGTGAAATGTATGCACCTACATTAAAAGATAATTTTTGAAATGTATGAAAGAAATGTATTGTATGAAATTTTTGAAATGTATGAAATGTATGAAAGAAATGTATGTACATTAAAATATAATTTTTGAAATGTATGAGATGTATGAAAACAATGTATGTACCTACATAAAAAGTTCATTTTTGAAATGTATGAAATGTATGAAATAAATGTATGTACCTACATTAAAAGATATTTTTGACATGTATGAAATGTATGAAAGAAATGTATGTACCTACATTAAAAGATAATTTTTGACATGTATGAAATGTATGAAAGAAATGTTTGTACCTACATTAAAATATAATTTTTGAAATGTATGCACCGTACAATAACAATACACGTTAAACATCATACCACAGAGTCATACGCAAGTTAAAAACAAACTGCTATGATATTAATGAGAAAGGAAAATAAACTTTATGGTATTCGAGTTAGGGTCGATTTCTCTCTTTTTTTTAAAACTATTTTAATCTTACCAGTTGCCAGTATTCGAAGACAGCTACGATTCGTACTCGATATTTTAAATTATTATGTAATCGATTTTTCAGTACAAATGTAAATAACCAACGACACTAATAATGTACTACTATATTCCGTTCTTTGAAACGGAATACTGCTATACTTAATACAAAATAATGAAAATTTACTGTTCACAACGACTCATTAAAAGCATCATCGAATAATGCGCTGTAATAAAATCCTGTTATCGATTATTAAAAAAAATCGATAATACATGTATTTATTTTTAATATGACAACACTTCATACATAAGTATTATTGGAAATAGTATTATTTGCTTGTTCGGCTATTTTTAATTTACTTAAACTTTTTTTATATGTTTAATAAAATATAGTTTATTAAATAAAGTATAGTTTATTGGAAAATATAAAAAAGACATTTAATTAGGCCGATACAAATGACAACAATGCCATCTATGAAAGCATTTTGAAAACATTGAGCCCCGTATTAGCACTGATTAAAGTGTAATTAAGTACTGGAAAATAACAAAATGAGTAAATATATGAAAATTACTTTTCTAAACGCATTATTTCATTTTAACATGTATATATATTTTTTTAAAAATGGATTAAACTATTTTGAAAACACAGTTTTGTTTTTTAAAACGTTTGCAAAACTATGAAGAATTCCATCGATACCAATCACGCCATCTATATGCAACTTTTAGCAATAATAATGGCTATTTCCTCATTGAGTGCCACTGGTAATACTAAACAGTCTTAACAATTTGCACTCGATACAAAAATACAGCATATAGACTATTAAAATAAAATAACACACTTAAAGCTGCTTATAATATTCGATACCAAATTACTTTAAAATAGGTTTTTACGTAATAAATTGCAATCAATTCAAAACAATAAAATCAAACAAAATTAAGACAAGAAATAAATTGAGAATCACATAATTAGCTACCTGTCTATGTTAAATATAAAAAAAATACCCATTTATTCTATCCTTATATCTCAGATAAATATTTGACATTTGGTAGTGACTAATAAACAAACTGTTTATATAAGCATACAAATAGAAATACATAATATGTAGGGACATCCTACTCAAATCATTGTCAAAAACAGATCTTATATAAAGTCTCATTAATGAAATAAAGAAGTGTAAGAAAATCGAATGACATACTGTACTTATATAGATATAGACATAGACGTTCGTTATAGTAATTTTACACACATGGACATACCCTGCTTCAGGGTGAGCTACCCCAGTTCATGGAGAGAGGGCTGCTCTCCCCATGACCTTTGAGTACCCCCCCGGTCTCCTATCAATATATAATATAATCAATCTCGTACTTATTAAATCTTTGAACTCCAGTCAGTGTTTACAAACCATGTCATTTCAAAAACATTATAACTTTGGATATAGGCCACTATATCTAAAAATATTGCAAATAATAACATAACACGCATGTTACATCA